ATAATTTTGTTTGCTATATACATAAAAAAAAGCGGGGGTTCTATATGAAGACATGTAAATAGAAAAAAGAAAAAAAAAAAGAGATTTAATATATCTACATTAAATGGAGATAACTTTTCTTTCGAATGTCCAAAATGATGTCATCTGATGTTAAGAAAAATGTATTTTTGGAACTCTAATTTATTCAAGTATTATATTAGTATTTATTATTATAATTTTTTAATCTCTCAATCTCAAAATAATATTATTTTGAGCTTTTTGGAGATATCTTTATTTTCGGTGCTCGGATAAACATTAAACACAAAAAAAATTATGAGCCCCACATATTTTTATGGGTTCACTTTTTCCGCCATTAATGTAGATAAGTTATCTGAAGTAAGCTCAATACGACGTCGTTTTGGAGCAGAAATCATGATGTTTTTGTAATTTTAATTTATTTCAGGATTATAATAGTCTTTGTATTTATAATTTTTTAATATTTCAATACCAAAACGACGTCATTTTAAGAATAAATACAGATAACTTATCTTTTGTAACTGCAGAAATATTTTTCTCTATTTTTATGTGTATAATTTGAGGTTGGGTGGTCTTCCCTGACCCTAGTGGGATACCGATGTCTAACCCCACTTAAATTTTTTGTTATTCAAAAAAATAAAAAATAAAATTATCTTTTATAACCTCATAAATATTAATCTCATCATTTGATTGAGGTTATTTTTCGCCGGTAGCATAAAAGAAAATTTTCTCCCGAGACAAAAACAAAAAAAAAGGGGCCCACTGCTTTAAAAATAAAAGAGTTGCCATATTTTATTTATGCTTTGCATCTTCGTATCCGACCATACGAACGATAAAATTATTATTTAAATACATTCTTCTAGTAATTGACGTTGCTTCTTTCCCGAATTGCTCGTTGGATTGGAGTTTATCTTCGATCCTCGAGTGTTCGGTTCGAAACCAGCATTCGGAAAGAAGCAAAGAGGGCATGTGGTGATGAATGATGATACAACAAAAACGAGGTATTCTAAAATACCTCTCTTTTTAATGAATGAATAATTTTTTTTCATTAAATTTTTAAAAAAAAATATGAAACAATAATATAATACTCCTCGATATATATGTCAAAAGATCACAAAAATAAATAAATAACGGTAGACAATTTTTACTTAACACCCCATATATATTGGCTTAATTTTGACATATTCTCATGAAGTTGACAAAACCAGTTCATGAAGACTTATTAAATCTTTTATGTGCTTTGTGTAAGGAAAAATATAGAGACCAGTTCAATGCCTCTTGCTTTTGAATACACAATGTCTGCATTGTGAAAATCTCACCCATCATACACATACATATATCACAAGCAAATATACAAGAGTATTCCTAAAACGTGCTACTAGAGACAACATGAAGACTGGTTACTTGATCTGAGTGGGGCGTTTGGTACGCGGAGGATTTCCGAAAAACTGAATTTTTTTAAATTTTTAATTTTCGAATATTATCGTAAACTGAATGTAAAAATTATATTTTTGAAAATCGAGATTCGCAGATAATTTTTTTTTTTCCCTTCTACCAAACGCCTTAGTCTTCATGGCTTTGGCATCTTGTCCTTTGCCTTTGATCCAAACCCATTGTGATATTTACAAGTCTAGAATAGAATAAAATGCATGATTCAATGTACCTTATATTTGGTTTATTTGAATAAACACAGTTTATTTTATTATTAGTATTATTATACCTGTGAATGCCTTGAAGGTTAAATTAACGGAAACCGGGTAGAATTGTATTAACCACAAAATCTTCTACACTTGGACAAAAAAAAAACGAAGTTGTTTGAAGTTTAGCCTACATAATTAAAATAGTAGCAAAATAATGAATTTTAAAACTAAACATATGTATAAATTCAAATTAAAGAAACAAAAGATCAAGTAAATTTTCACTTAAATTTCAAACCTTTAAGAACATAGACTGACTAAAAGTGAAGCAATTAAAAGGAGCAATCTTTAAGCCAAGAAACGAGCTAGAACATAAGTTCAAAACCAAGTACACCAACTTAAAGGTGAAAACAGAGCAAAAGAAAGCAAGTTCTACGTTGTGGTTTTTCTCTGCAATTAACTAGCAAAACTAGTTAAATTGTTAAATAATGGTACGGGAGTACAAAACCCTTTACAAAGGATCTTCTACCAATAGATCAAATGATAAATCACAATAAATAGATTAATATCATATCTCAATCCAAGACCTAAGATAGTAAGTTTATGAGTCTTTCGCGGTTATAGGGTATTTAGTTAATTTATTTCTAATCGATGCGGGACTTTGTTACTGTAACCAAGCAAGCATGGACACGCTAAAATTTTCAAAATTTGCGTGTCAGACACGGACACACTACGAGACGCGTTCGACACGCGGTCAACATTTGGGGACACGTGGTGAACACTCCGACACGCGGTCAATTTTTTCCGACACGCGGTCAATTTTTTCCGACACGCGGTCAACGCTCGGACATGCTTTTTTTAATCTTAATTTTATTTTATTAACTAAATATAAAAAAATTATAAATTAATTTTTTTCTATTATAAAATTTGACATGAAAAAGTAACAAAGTACGGAAAATTATTTATATTTATATTTATGTTATAAAATTTAAATATTTGATTGGTTATATGACTTATTATGGACTCTTATATATATTAAATATAAATTATATTATATATATTAAAATTTTTATTAAATATCAAAACGTGTCGAAATATGACATTTTTTAGAGTTAACGTGTCGGCGTGTCGTGTCCCGTGTCGGTGTCGGTGCATCATAGACTGTAACACCCCATTCTAGAACCGATTTGTTATTATTATGTATGATATTAAGCGCAGTTACAATCACAACAATTGATTAAAACACGGATAAACTTTTTCTTTTCTTAAAACGTATGTTATTATTATGTATTCCATGTTATGTCCTCTCATCAATTTAAGGGGAATGATACGTTTACAAATTTTTGTTTACAAATTTTTGCAAATTACACTATGTACTTCCCGGAGAATATAGTGAAACTTAGTGTTCTCCCGGGAGTATATAGTGTAGTTTGTAAGAGTTTGTAAACAAAAAGTTTGTAAATATAACCCTCCCCTCAATTTAATTCATCTAACTTGATTTTAGATTTTCACTAAAAGTATTTCATAATGCTCCATTCAATTATTTATAAGTTCCACGCAATTTTTGTCTACCCGCATTTTTACCTCAAAACTCCCACTATTTGCACTTTTTTCAAAAAATGCCTTATTTTTACCTAATTAGATTTTCAATCTAATTATATCATTAATCATCTCAAAATTCCATATTACACCGGTTAGAGTTATTATAGTTACTATTTACATTTGAATATTTCCAACATTAATATATAAATAAAATGCTAAAAATTAAGATCGAAACTTAAAAGTAAAGATATTAAGGAGAGAACAGCTTCACTGCTGCAATACATTTTTATATTAATTAGGCCAAGTTAATTTTAATATAAGACAAAACTTGGGATTTTATTGCAACCTATGGTTATATATATATATATATATATATATATATATATATATATATATATATATATATATATATTCAACTGCAGCATCTCCTAGTTTATAAGTAAAATTTTGGTCCTTCTAGCATACCAATTTTTTTTTTTTTTTTGTCCTTCCACGAGGTCACTTTAATGAGTCTTTTGATATTGACTTAGATATTCTGTAAACTTGGTTGTAAAAAATTAAAAAGTATAACTATGGACCTATTTAGTTACCATTTCTTGCAGAATTAACACCTTTATCGACACACTATAACCATGAAAAAAGTAAACATATAATTTGTTAAAGTATACCAAGTGAGAATTTGTTACAATAAAAATCTGATAATTTTGCACATATGCTCATTGGGTTTCATTAGTTACTACTAGTACTAACTTGCTCAATTACATGATCATTTTTCCGATTTTGTTTTTGGATAGAGTAAGGTTTGGATGTGCTCAAGAAAAACAAAAAGTGAATATTATTACCATATCTAAATGATTTTATTTGGACTTTCACGTTACGCGGCTAGCTGGGAGAACATCTTTCGTACAACTGTAATAGGTAATTCTTCCATTGAGCAACTAGTATTTGGATAAAAGAAATATTTCTCTCTCCTATGTATACAAATATCACAGTTATTCATGAATTTCTATTAGCTGATAGCACCAAACAAATAGTTCGACACTAGTATATTAGATAATTCCGCTTACCGAAGCCAAAAGGAGTTAATTATCATAATAATAGTTCCAACACAAGTCATACTCAAAAGTTGTATATGGAGAAATTCTTTGCTCAGAAAAGTCAAAATATGTAAACTTAATTGATGCTTTTGCATCACACCAAGGGTTAAAATATTTATTGTTTGCCGAAAGTAAGGGAAAAATTTCTTCTTACTTGCAATTGAAGCCTTTGATTATAAACATACACAACTCTGAAAAATACTAAATAAATGTTAATCTGACCGATTCGCATTAAGTTGACCAAACCAATTCATACTTTCATACTCGCATATGTATGTTATGGAAAACTCCATTTCATGAATAGTTAATAGGGACAAGTTCAAACAGGAATCATGTTCCATTAACCGTCCTTGCTAATTCTAAATTACTTACAAAAATTCAATTGACTACATCAAACAGTGGGAACTTATATATTTAATAAGTATATATGTGCTAATTTGATCTTAGAAAAAGAAGAATAATTGGTAGTATATAGTTGTTAAAGAATGTTTCATCCAATGTCCAACTAATAAAATATTAAAGACACAATAGTTGATTAAGATTTACTAGGTCTTTACAAAGCATTGTGAAATTAAGAATATGAACCAATTCAATGTCTCCAGCTTATAAATAGAGGAAGTTTGCATTGCCCAATAACCTCAAACCCTCATATACATAATCAAGCAATTACACAAAAGAATTGCCAAAACAAATTATTGCTAGAGAAAACATGAAGACTGGTGGTTACTTGATCCTTACAGCATTCTTGGCTTTGGCATCATGTACCTTAGCATTTGATCCCAGCCCTCTACAGGACTTTTGTGTGGCCATCAATGACACAAAGATGGGTGGTAAGTTTAATGTACCTTATGTTTCTTTATAGGAATTAGTGTTTCTCATGTTGCGATAGATATTTTTATCTCATACACACATAAAAGTATGCGAGACTCATATTTTCTTTTTTTCTGTCTTCTCTTCACATGGTTCTATAAGGACCGCAAACACTTTTACGTGTGTAGGAGATAATTTTATCTCCTAAAAATATTAATCCCTTCTTTATAACTAGATTCTATGCATTTAACAGGCTTGACCATCCTATTTTAGTATGAGAAGTGAATGATTTCTCTTATAAATTTGTTTACAGTTTTTGTGAATGGAAAATTCTGCAAAGACCCAAAACTTGTTAGTGCAAATGATTTCTTCTTTTCACTCAAGCAAGGAAACACATCTAATCCACTTGGTTTCAAAGTGACTCCTGCTAGTGTTAATGAGATACTAGGACTGAACACTCTTGGCATGTCCCTTGCTCGCATTGACTTTGCACCTAAAGGCTTAAATCCTCCTCACACTCACCCTAGAGGCACTGAGATACTTGTAGTTTTGGAGGGTACCCTTTATGTTGGTTTTGTTACATCCAACCCAGAGAACCGTCTCATCACCAAAGTACTCAACAAAGGAGATGTCTTTGTGTTCCCAATTGGTCTCATTCACTTCCAATTCAATGTTGGTTATGCAAATGCTGTTGCTATTTCTGGACTTAGCAGCCAGAATCCAGGAGTTATAACAATTGCTAATTCTGTATTTGGGTCCAATCCACGCATATCTAAAGAAGTTCTTACAAAGGCTTTTCAAGTGGACAATAGAATAGTGGACAATCTTGAGAAACAATTCAGGTGGAATAACAACTAGAATAGAAGGCATTGTGATATGTGTATGAACCACTAAATTTATTTGAATTGTTAGTTTTGTTTATGCTTTTACCTTGTGCGACCATATTGGCCATTGGGATATTTACAAGAAGTCTAGAATAGAATAAAATGCATGATTCAATGTACCTTATATTCATATTTGGATTATTTGAATAAACACAGTTTATTTTGCTACTATTCAATGGTTATATTTCATGATTCAAGCTTAGGTTTTGGTTGGATTTTCATGGTTTTCATAGTGTTTTGATGGTCCCTTGTGATGGAGTTTGATAATGGTTATAATTTGTCCTTTGTTGTTGTTGTTGTTGTTGTTGAAACTACCATGAATGATGATGAAAACTTTAAATGGGATGACCTAATATTAAAAATGGAATTCAGCCCAAGCCTAGTAAATTATGTAGGTCAAATGTTTGATAAATTGTGTATGTGAAATCATGGTTTGTTGATGATTTAATGATTAACTGATGTAATGGAAAGTTGTTAGAAAATAACAAGATTTTGGTATTAAAAGTTTGAATCGCACTTGATTCCTCCACATGTATGCTTCGGCCATGATGAAAAAGAGTGGGGGAAGATTATGTTTTGATATGTTCTAGATGTGTATTAAGGTCTCTTCTCTTGTTGTTGGTTGATGGTTGTCTACCTATGTAAAGATGAATGTGGCATGAAAGTTTATAAAAAAAAAAAGTCCAATAGGCAAATCTGCCTTCATGATGAAATTTATGCAAATGAGGTGTTTGATTATATGTGAATATGAAACAATGATGGATAGGTGATGTAGTGATGGGATGGTATGGCTGCTAACAAGTGAAAGTTTGAACTAAAGTCATGATTACATTAACCTATATGATATTGATTGTTGTTGATTCGTACTCTAGGTTTGTGCATAGGGATTTTGATTTGGAGGGAGGTGTTTATAAATATTTAGCTAACTTCAATAATTACATAAATATTTATGTTATGTCACAATTGATTAATGTATTTCTTCCAATTTGTATAGGCAAGGTGTTATAAATATTTAGCTAACTTCATATAGTTGCAAAGCGCATTAAACTCCGTGAGCGAGCCGTAAAGTTTAAAATAATTTCCTATGAGCTAATTCGGCAAAAAAATTAATTAATTGTAAATAAAAAGTTATAAATATATTACTGTTTTGAAATTATTTATGCGTGTATTGCAGCGTGTCACATTCGGATTGGGCGTTACCAGTCACGTCTAAGTTAGGCATCATCCTCGAGGCAGTCACGCCTAAATTAGGCGTCACTTATATGGTGTTGACACGTGTCACAAAAAATTAACATTTTAACCTTAAAATTTCTAAAAACCATAACTTTTGACTCGGGTATCCAAATCAGGTAATTTTTTTTTTGATTCCACATAACTTTTCGAGATCTACGCAATGACACCTCATTTGATATATTTTATCTCTACAAACACAATTTGAATTTGCAATATTGAGACTTTATCTTGTAAGTCGTGGTCTGAAGTTAATGATGTCACCAAAGTGGATTAGTCCATCTTTAAATAAAAATACTTAATGTTATAGTAAAATATATACTTTCTACCAAATATTTGAAAAAAATATGTATAATATTGTGAGAAAAGAAAGTGCCCCAATATAAAAGTGTGAGAGAGATTGGTGAGAATATAATGTTCTTTAAGTTCTATCAAAGAATGCAAAACTTTTGATATAATGCATTAAAAATATGTTCTTATGCATTATTACAAACATGTATAGCACCTCAAACCCTCTTATCAAAGCATGTTTCATGAGAAAGCCTTCAATTGGATGTTCCTTTGGCATAATTTCATCTTTGAATGATGTTATTTAAATTTTTACTTCCCAGTATTAAGAAATAATTCTCCGAAAATTTTTCAGTGCGTAGATATCAAAAAGTTATGTGAAAAAAAAAATCACCTGCTTCGGACTTCCAAGCCAAAAAAATTATATAAGTCTTCTTTGAATTTTTGAAGGACCATGATTTCAATTAATTGAATTTATTTTAAATTTATGAAGGACCACAAGTCGACTTTTTTTTAATGGATTAAAATGGAGGATAGGATATTGTTACAACCAATTAGTGTTACTACCAATCAATTCCACCATTAGATTGATTATGTTAATCCCAACTATTATACTTACTTTCAAAACAACAATAAATTCATAATTTTTTTATTTAAAAAAAATTGATCCAAATTGATCCGATACATTCAATTGTGCATTTTTCCCCCCTTTTGCTTAACAGGCCGGCTACTGAACCAGCTTGGCCTGACTATTTTGCTTAACAGGCCAATCTTGGGCTAATATAAAAGTTTAATTAATAATTGCGTCCCCGTCGACCACCTCGTCATCGGCGTCGATCTCGCTCCCATCGCTCCCATCCGCGGTGCCATCGCCATACAGGAAGATATCACCAGGCCCGAGTGCAAGTCTCGAATCAAGAAGCTCATGAACGAGCACGGTTGTCGCGCGTTTGACGTTATATTGCACGATGGTTCGCCCAACGTCGGTGGCGCGTGGGCTCAGGAAGCAATGAGCCAGAACGCTCTCGTCATCGATGCGGTTAAGTTAGCCACACAGTTCTTAGCCCCCAAGGGCATATTTGTCACTAAGGTATTTTTCATTCAACTTAATTGTTATTTATGACTGATTCTCATTCTTATTTTGATTATTGTTAATTCTTTTGTTATATGATAGATTTTCAGGTTATATATAGTCTCACATCATTGATTGAATGAACAATTAATATGACCTTTATAAGACCTTCGGCACTTCCACCCTTTGAGCTAGTTTTTGGAGTGGTGTATCCCAAGGTTCTTTACATGGTATCAGAGTCTTACCATCCCCCGCTTTAAAAAGTGGAATTAAAATAAAAAGCACAAAAAGGTAAACCAAAAATTGGGCCTGTGCAATTCCACGCTTCTAGTCACCATCAAAGGGCTCTTGCGTGAGGAGGCGTGTTAATATGGTCTTTAAAGACTTTCGGCACTTCCACCCTTTGAGCTAGCTTTTGGAGTGGTGTATCCAAGGTTCTTTACACCAGGATTACAGTTCTATGGTGTATTGCTTAAAGCAGGTGATAGTTTTTTTTTTATTTTTTTAAGAAAAATAATAATTCTATTTTGTGTTTTTATGTGGTTTAATGGGTGTTAGTGTGAATTGGTTGAGAATTGTTTTGTTTTTTGTGGTGGAATATTTGCATTGCAGTTGTTTGAAAAGGTTGAGGTGGATAAACCCGCAGCCAGTCGTTCTGAATCTGCTGAGATATATATCAAGAATTTTTTTTACATGTAGATTATGGCCTCTTGGCAGTGCAGGCTGATGAGGAAGGTGATATTGTTCAGTCCAAATACGATTCAGATGAAGATCAGCGTGATCAAGAAGCAAATCCTTTGATGGTGCCACTTAATGATGGGACAGAACCCACCCCAGAGGAGATCACAAATAAGTGGTTTAGTCAGGATGTCTTTGCTGAAGCTGTAGAGGAAGGAGACTTTGAGAAGTCTCAGAGTGAAGATGAGATGGATATAGATGGGCCTAATAGGAGAAGATGTCCATTGCAAAAAAGGTCAGAGAAAATAAAACAATGGCTTCAGTGATAGATGGGCCTAAATCTCAAGCATCTAAAGCAGAGGGGGATTTTGAGATAGTTCCTGCACCTGCTACTGATTCAAGCGATGATTCATCCTCTGATGAGTCGGAGGAGGAAGATGTTGAAACCAAAGCTGAGATACTGGCTTATGCTAAGAAGATGATGAGGAAAAAGCAAAGGGAGCAGATACTTGATGATGCATATCATATGTAGTTGCAAAGAAAGGTGTCCAAGTTAAGACTGGCAAGGGTAAAGTCCTTGTTGATCGCAGAATGAAGAAGGATGCTAGGAAACATGGAATGGGTGGTAAGGCAGGAAAAGGAGGTTCCAAGATGAAGGGTAAGTCTCCGAAGGTGAAAGGATCTTCAAAGGCCTCTGCTAAGAAGGGAAGAAAGGGGAATAAATGAAGAATAGGGTGATGCTCAATTTCTCAGTCACGGGTTTTGTCTTATTTTCATGCCTCAATTTTGTTTGTTCATAGAGGGAATCTTAATTTAATTAAAAGTTGTCTTAAATAGCAGCTAATGAAGGTATTAAATTAGATATTGATTATGGCACACCAATATTTGTAAAAATTGGAGTGTTAAGTATCTTCAAGTTCATCGGTTTCTAGCGTTTTAATTGTCTAATATAGCACTGTGCCGGTTTTCATAGTAAGATACTATTGAGTTGTTTGTCTAGTTATATAGTTTTGATTGGTACAACTAATGTTTTACAAATTGTTTAAAAATTAGGTCAGACTAGCTGGTTTAAATAAAGGTTGGTGAACTGATAAAATAACTGGTGTCTAGGATATTCGATGATCAGTGAATTGGTGAACTGGTTGAACGATCCAAAAACCAAAGAAAATTACTATAAACGAGTCTAAACTTGAAACCCTAAATATCATTTACCATGTCTTTTAATTATTGTACATATTTTCATAGGCCAATTACAAATTAGACATAATCAGGGATAAAGATGGTTTTTAATGATGACTAATTATAATACAATCAACATTAAACAATTCTAAATAATTTGTTTTTCCTAAAATAAAGATAGTTAATTAAAATCAGCATTAAATCAACCTAAAATAAGATAAAACAACTAAAATGAAATAGTTCTAATAATTAAAGCAAATTTTACTAAAGAAACTTGACAATGAATCATGCTAGAAACATGTTCAAATCTTAACCCTCAATACATGTCACATTTCTTGAAATCTTGAGCTTGGATATCATGTTGTGGTGTTGTCCTGCATTTTTACCTTGACGCTCACCAAAGTGTCGTTCAATGTTATCCAAATGTTGCATCAGCAGTTCCACTACAGCTTGGACTAGAACAAGCTTGGTGGAACATAATCTTCTTGGTCTGCGCCAACCTGTTCATCCCCTGCGTATTAGGGTTCGGAGGGACATATGTTCACCATGATTTGATGGGAATCAAAATTTACTAATTCCCCACAAACGCCCATTGTGTTCAGTAGATAATAACGTTTCTGACTA